CTCATTACTATTTATTAATTATATTTTCTGTGAAAATACCTTAAATCGTTGTTTATTACTAAGATCTAACCATTTTCTATATTTATTTAAAAAATGTAAGGATTTTTGTTGCGTGTTTGTATTTTTATCAACATTGTGTATACATTTTATGATGTTTATTTCTTGAAAACTTATTTTACTTATTTAGACATTCTTGTTCCCCCAATCATTGAAACTATGTTAAATTGTTGTTAAATTTCGTTGAGTATAAAATTAATTTCAGATCATTAATACGGCTCACTCTGCACCTACAAACTGTTTTGAGTAAGTTTCAGAGTTGTTTTGATGAAAAATCATAATATTGAACGTTATAATTGTATAATTTTTTTACAGATCTGAATGTCTTCTTTTGTTTTTTTTCAAGCTATTAATGGTTTTAAAGGTTTGGAACTAGAGTTTTTATTAATTTTTTAACATCAAACCGACAATGTATGTACATCGTTTCGACGTGGTACTGATACTCATAATGTATTTTGAGAAGGAATTAATTCAACGTTCCTTTCACGACAAAAATGAACTCTATTGATGTTACAATGATAAGTTGTGGCAATACAACAGACTAATTTCATTGTTTATGCTTAACAGTCTACGATTAATATAGGTTTTACTTTGTGAGACCGCAAATTTCTGCTTTTATCAATGTGTGTAAATGTAATATGTGATAAATGATTACTAGTATTTGGACAGTTTTATAAAATAATGAAAATTATAACTTAGTGTCATTCCCTTTAGACTTTAGAGTAGCGAGTTGTTCGAAGGAACTCATTTCAATAATATCGCACATAATATACCATAACTATACGTATTTCTCATTTCCGTTGACATGAGTTCAAATAGGTGTTCTCCAAAAAATGCCAAAGTAAGCCAAAACAAATAAGAAGAGTTCTCTGTCGAACGAAATACATGTTAATAATTAGTATTACAACGTGGACAAATGTATATCGACTAAAACGGACACGTGCATATTACTTTAAATGCGTATCCGGGAATCAAGTTATACGATTTATTCTTAACGAAATTAACGCAAAAGAGGTCTCGTTCCATTTAAGTGGTTCCAGTATTATTTTCTGATAAAATTAAATTAATACGTTTATCATTCGTATGTGCACACACACACGTAAATATCATGAGGTATACGTCAACTGGATGAAAGTAAATATGTAAATCATCTTATCAAACATGTTTTAATGTAATTTGGAAAACATTTAGTCCATCGTGGTATGCGAATGCGAGCAATATAAATTTATTGGACGAAATACGATTTGACATGCACATTGTATCGTTAAATTTATAATTCTGTCTGCTCCCGTATACTTAGTGAATGCCATTGGATTCGGTGAACTTCGTAGCAAGAGTGTTGTTCTGCAATCGATGTTCAGAGATTATCATACGTTATTATACACCAGATTTATACGAATAAATATAATGGAATACAGTGTGAAATATCTAATTTATGTCTTGTACATTTAAAGTGTATAATTGTTCTGTTTACGATGGAAGAAAGTTTGTCCCAATCAACAACCCCATTCGAACAGGTTGATTTCAAATGTTGTATTGCAAATAATTATGTTCGATAACGAGAAACGTTCTTCAGTGAAATGCATATGTTATTTTGAAAATCACTTTATAACTATTTATGCGTTGCACGAATTTGTAAATAAATAATATCAAACGACAGTGTGTTACAAACCGTACGCGTTCAATTTTAGCGATTGTTAGGTTTTCGGAGTATGAGTACGAATCGATACTTTTTAGACACTCGGGTTCTATTACGATGGCTTCATTATGAACTTTACCCGACAAAAAGTCAGAAAATATAACCCCACTGTTATAACAGCGATGTATTCGATACCGTCATCACGTGAACGCGAAACTCTGTGTTTGCATACGGCGACTTAATAGCGTGTAAACGATATTTGATCGTGATATGACGGAAAACTATGGAAGTCGACTGAATTAGCAACGCCGTCGGATAGCATTATCACAGATACTTCGGGTTTGGCGGGTGAACTGCTGCGCAAATATTATGCGGATGACGCGTCCGTTATTGTTCTAAACATACGCTGTACATACATATTATCCTTCTATACAAGACATATGTTAAGTAGCGGTGAAGAATTATTCCGCAAAACTTGCGGAATTGTATACATTTTCATAACCATTCATAAACATAAACGATTCCGCAAGATTTAAAATGCAGCGTTGCTGTAACATCCGTTTATAAATGCTTGTTAACACAAACAGATATATATGTACATGTATATGTATATGTACGTTATGATTCGTATAGGTACTAGTAATTTATATTTGGTGGTACCTAATAATAATTTCTAAAAAAATAAAATAAAATGTTTATTAATTATTTTATTTTATTGAATTATTATATTATAAAATTATAATCATACTATTATAATTATTATAATTCGGTGTATTGAAATATATTAAACTTTATTCGTTTATTAAAATAACATATTTTAACCATAGAAATAAAAACATAAAAGCTCGTCAGAATCACTATAAAAATAATAATTTAAAATAGTAATTAGAAAATGTAAAAAAATGAATATTGGTATTAAAATAAATAATCGTAGTGTTTTATTCGTATAAAAATTCGTTAAGTCAAGTTTGTGCAAACTAATTGCACTAGTAAATCAAAAATATATGACTGCATAGTTCAAAAATATGAACAACGTCGGTTCAGGTTTTAACAATCGTGCACCGCTACATTTTTAATCATGCGAAATCGTTTATATTTGTAAAAGGTTATGAAGATCTACAGGATTCCACACATTTGGCGAAATCGTAATGTAATCTTACAATAATCCAAACTTGTGTACGCAGTATATACATGATATAATACGTGTATATTGATTGAAACCGAATAAAACATCGGAGTGAGATACCACTGTCTCGTTATAAAGACACTTTCCCGAGTTTCCGACGGTTATCATTTCGCTGAAGGCGTACCGAATAGTGAATATAACCGTGTACGCGGTTAACAGTGGAATTTTTCTATATCATCACGTGTTCCGTGGTTTTTGGAGTCGTTTAGTGCTCGGTGGTGCTGAAAATTTAACTTCTAAAAATGAATGAATCATGTTCGTCGGAAATACTACGTTCTGCAATGTATGGTTAACGTTATTTTTCGTATGTATAATCAAAATAGACTCTTACGGTTTTTTTTTTAATTATTTAAAATGTACAATTGATAAAAGGTAAGAAGTACTCGTATAATACGTATGGTTAGAGTATGATCTAATGTATAAATATAATGACCATCAGTCAAAAAGCTGAATCAAAAAATACTTTATTGTACAAAATTACATAGATAAATAAATAAATAATAAAATATAATTTCCTGCCAATAACCGATCAGTTTAATTGTAATTCTAATCGTTTAAAATCAAATACTTCGTTCAAATTCTACAACTGAAATTTATAATTTTTTTAGAAAATTCGGAGAATGTATTGATTTACAAAGATATTTATTATTTTGTAATCAAACTGTTGGTAAAAAAAATGAATCTACATCACAATCCTCATAAGATCAGAAATCCTATACGTGTAATTTTTATAGAATATGCTATCTATGGATTCTTCAACAAGTATACAATATTAAATCGATGTTTAATCGTAATCTTTTATGGAATGCAATAATTTCATATTGCTTTTAAAAATAAGTGTACGTAATATGAACAATAACACGAAAAAACTCTATAGCATCTATTTTTTTTTGTATATTTGGAAGAACAAAATTGTTTAATCAAATTCATAGAAATCTATGGTATTACTGACTAAAATATATTCTGATAATGAATTAAACATTTACTGAGTACTGCCTTGATATATTCGTTCTTCGCCTATGAGGTTGTGTATGCTTTTGCAAAAATCGAACTCCCAAAAACCCTGCAGTGTCCGAACGGATCATTTTGAACAATCATTTTAATCCAGGGATTTTCTTATATACATAAATCAATAATTAAAAAAAAAAAAAAACAATTCTAGGTAATCATAAATTGTAATAATTAGTCTCGCATGGACACTATCGGTAGTCTCCTGTTAAAGTCGACCACCTTAACCTAAACCATCATTCTTGTTTTACTTATATAAATTATTAACATATTTCTTTATTAAAATTGAAAAAAAAATGTATACGATGGGTTAATACGCTCGAATCGTAATACAATCGATAGATTTTTTCAAACACGTTTTTGAAAGTTTGTACTCCGATGGAAAACTCGCCTAGGATCACCTTCTATTTTTCCGTTTTCGCGCTCGCTTCAAACCCGAGCGGCATACTGCACAGCATATCGTAGCTATATATTATTAGACCGCAGTACGTTGTAACTCATTATTATAATTATTGCACTGTATCGCGTATATTCGGCCCGCACGTTTTTTACACTCGAAAACCGCATACGTGTATAGGAGTACAAAAAAAAAAAAAACCATGTACCTAACTGCGTGGCTGACTACGTGCAAGTAAAATATAACACATTTATACATAAGTCACTTGTTTCTCTCTCTCTCTCTCTCTCTCTCTTTCCTCTTTTCTCTCCTCGTCACGCTCGGTCGGCGTACCTTGACTACCACCGCACGCGCCGCTGCTCGGATTGCTGCTGGTCGCTGTTGCTGACGCTGTTGCATTAGTTTTCGGTGCAGCTCGGCCAGGAGGAGCAGCATATGGCCGCATCGACGTGTGTCAACCTACCCTTTCCGGCCCCCGACGCCCCCTCCACGAGGAGCCGCGTCCCGGCCGAAACCCACAAATAATCGCCCTCATTAACAGGTGTGCGCGCATCCACACGTGTGCACGCCCGTTGCCCGTATCATACCTATTTATACGCGTGGCCGTCGGACGGAACACGCGATGTAACGTGTGCGCAGACCTCGTCCGCACGATAACGATGTAATTATTATCGTCGTCGCACGGTTCGTCGTACTTCACGAACGTCCGCGTAGTCGTCCGAAAACCGCACGAACGCGAGTACGTGTACCGCAGTATTTTACGCGTACGTGTAGTGTGTGTTAAACGCGCGCGCTCGTGTCGCCGTCGGTGGAAATCGCGCGTTTTTCCGAGCACTCTGCCGTCGCGGCGATATGACGGTTCGCGGCACCCCGGGTCCTGGCGCCCCGGCCGCCGTTCGTCACGTGGTCACCAACGACGCACGCGATAGCCCCACGTGACCGTGGTATAGTGTCGGTGTCGTTTTTCGGGCTTCGTCCTAGTACCGGCTGACCCCCCCCCCTGACGTTATTCCTGTTTTTGGTACACGTGGTATCCTCGTCTTGAACCCGAAATCGACCGCCGCGGTACTGCCGTGAAATACACAGAATAGTCTCGATCCATACAGGAGGCCGTTGCTTTCGCATGACTCTCGACGATTTTTACTCGCGCTGAGGTGTTCCCGTTGGTTGGAAAGTTCAAATCCCGTTGGCGAGTTCAAACGGTAACGTTCGTCTTACCGCTTACCGCGTTCGCTGTAGGTACGAATTTTTCCGTTCGATTGACATTGACCCGGTAACTCGCTCGTTCTCCGCGCGCAGGTATTGCTATTTTTTTAAACACAATACACAAAGGTCACCTACCAAGAACTCCGACGCACTTAATTTTTCGAAATCCATTGATGGAGAAAATCGATTTGTAATATTCCGCTTTCTTTTAGTCTCTTTCCGTTTTTTTTCTTCAATATTTCACACGTTTTATTAAACGACTTAATATAGTGATGACTTTTCAATCAGTTTTGTAGATATTTTGATTCGTTCGAATACGAACTCGTTATGAAATATAACTATGAAAAATAATTATTGAACCGAGTTGTTTGTAAATATTTGAAACTAATATAATACACATTGTGTAGGGCAGGAATATTTTAATAATATTTACCCGCTGAATTGAAATATTCTGAGCAAAAATGTAACATGACATACGTTGAAATTGGTAGTTCATTATAAAACCAAATAATACTTGGATCGATCCAGAAAATAACTATTTCCATAAAACCTAATATTTTGGCAAGTATACATAGATTCTCTGGACGTTTAAATTCGTCGTTATATTTTATTCGTTCTCTTCTACGTTTGTTTTTGTGCGATTTTCATTTTCTAAACTCACTTCTTGAATATTTGTACATAGGTATTAATGTCAACTTCTTGCTTTTGTAATATTCATGTTCTATAACCATATACATACTTATATATCTCTGATGTTTTGGAGCATCGTTCATTGATGTCAGAACCTCATCCAACTCTGTAATTAGAACAATATCGGGGGAACGGAGAAACTAATTTCGGGTTGAAATTTTCGCCTTTTACTGCGGACAACGAGTGAAAGCGAAACTGCCGTAACGCCTATATACGGTTGGGTATACACAGGAGACGCGTGTAACGGCTGTGTCGCGTCACGGACGTTTGATTTGGTTTTAAAACGTTTTTTTTTTTTTCGTTATTATTCTTCCTTCCTTCGAATCGGCCGTGTGTTTAGGGTTCGCGAACTCATAATTTATACGTAAACGTACAAGTACTGTTACCGTCGGTACGCACCGGTTACTGCGCGCTGACCGAGCTGTTCGCCCATAATATGTATTATACTCATATTCGCGCACGAATATAATAGTCATTTTGTTCGTGTCATAGTCGGGCACTAACGCGTTACGTACGATACTGAGATCGATGACAGAATGACGGTGCAGTGCGGTTTGTTAACCGATCGAACGTGTAAAATTTGCGATAACGGTAACCTCCTCTCTTCCCTCCCACAGGAATAGACGAAATAAATTAAAAAAAAAAAAACGCGTGCACAATAAAGTATTGTTATCGACGTGGACGTCGTCGTGTGTGATACGGATAAAACGTAGTTATATCGCACACGGTGTATTGCCTTAGTCGTCCCGCACGTGTTTCGTATACCGACGGCGGCCACGGGGTTTTCGCAGAGTCGGAGTTTAGCCTCGGGCGGCTTTCGTTGTAACGCGGTCGGTTCGGGCTATGAAAAGGAACGCGATCAGTCAATGGGAGCTGTCGGATCACTTCTGGGCGGAAAGCGACCCGCCGGAACCGTGCGTGACGGGCAGGAGTTTTTTACAAAAATGCGCCCGGCAACTCGACCGGTTGACCACCGATAGAAGGGTCAAGTACCGGTTGGCCGGTCGGCGCCGTGACACACTGCCGCAGGAAGCGCCTCGTCCTTACCGCGTCCGGAGACCACCACCGGTGGACCAAGAGTACCACGGTTACGCGGGTTCCGTGGGTGAAAATTCCGGTTGCCGGACCTCGAACTTCAGCTACAATAACAACAGTAACAAATTTAACAACAAAAACAAGAAAACTTATGTTCCCGACGACGATGTTGACTGCCGCACAGAATCGCAATTGTCACCACTTCAGCAGCCACCACCGCCGCCGCTTTGCGTGATCAAACGATCCGACGATTATGCCGCTGCCGCAAATGGAACCAAAACGTTCGGATCCGTTCCGTTCCGCGAGGTTAGTATAAACGACGTATTGTCCACCATAAAGGCTGTTCATTGTAGACAGGGCCGTGGAGAGATTAACCCGGGCCCCCTGAGGGTATATCTTAATTTTTTCTGCAGTGTTCGTTCAATTCTTATCATTAATTGTGTTTAGTTTTAAATAATTTGTAGTCCCTAATTTCCAGGCCCTCCCATAAATGCCGGGCTCGGGGGGATCATCCCTTCCCCACTGTGTTCACGTAATACCGAACGGCCAAGATGGAATAACAAAACACGTATGTTGCTCGAAACGTGTTAAGTATACAATTATTTCTACTGGTTACTATTTTATAGTGGTCGACGTGAACTTGACATCAATTGATAATAAAATAATATCTGAATAAAAAATCTACGTATAACAAAGAATATAAATCTTATTATATAGAATTGTAAAAACACGAGAGGTCTGGCGGAAATTTGACACGAAGCTGAAATCTGGGACGATATCATATGAAACATATCGTACGTCGATCGCTTTAACGTAGCGTTGTGATGAATTTGACGTATACACGTATTATAATCATGCAAAATAATGTGAATAATATTATACTATTTGCTCGTAAACAATACGGCACGTGTGCAACGATTACAGTAATAATTACGGTATTATTATTGCACATGGCAAAATGAAACGGTTTATGCATAACACGAATGTATATTAGCATATAATCATCGCTGTATGATATAAAATATGTATGACTTTGGTGATTGGATGGAATGTGTTGCGTAAATGAAAACGTTTTTGTTTTCCTCGTCCTTTCTCTTCGGCCGCAACGTGCAAAATTATGTATAGATATGTTATTATTGTGTGGTACGGATAAAGTTGAGGGGAGTCTTCGAACTTGGTTTGTTGGAAAATTGATTTTTTTTTTTTTTTTTACCACAAACATTTTAATCGCAGAATACTTTTTATTTGTATTCGTTTTACTTCAATCGTATTCCTATCGTATTCGTCGATTTATTCTTTCGTGACGCATCGTCGACCCTGCAGTTGTTTCACCTCGATCAATTCAACTTTTCACGTTTTCCGGCGTATGTTCCGTCGTGATGACAGATATAAGCCGTATAAGTTTTGTAATTACGAACCAAAAATTGTAAACCATATATCTAACCAGATGTCTCGGGTGCACGTGAGTCAGCTACGATATTATGATCACCTTCACTTCCACTTGATATTTTTGATTCTTTAATAATTAAACGGTCGTGTATCGTGCACGTACGATGATAACAACGCGCGGAAAACGATTGAAAAAACAATAATATTACAAATTTCGGTGAACTCATTGAACCGTCCGTGTCCCGTGATTCATGCTCGCATTGACACACGCCATGGACTCTGTTTTGAAACAGTACTTGTATGATCGGAAGACTAGCTTAAGTGTTTTTTTCTTTTCCTGTTTACGATTTGTCCGCATCTTAAAGCAGATTCATTATATAGGTTTTAGGGTTATGTGCTCGACGTCGTGGTTATTTTGTTTTTCCCACGAGAAACTCGTGAATAATAATTTGCGCGGAAGATCGGTTTTTTTACCTTACTGTTAAAACGATCGTTTAACTAAAAGTTTTTTTTTCATGTTGCCGTTTTTAATCGATTTTATATTAATCCCATGCGAAAAAAATTATCCTTAACCTTTATGTACCGTAGCCGCGTTGTCACCGCACCCCCCCCCCTCTTATCAAAACTAAACTAAATTCGGTCGAAAAAGAATATAGTACATAATATTGCTTTATACCTAATGACAATAGACGTACCTATCGGCGATCTATATAGTAAAATACATAATGCGTAATGACGATAAAACCTACGTTATACGATGGTTGGAAACACGTCTGAATTGAATAGTAGTAGTTAACTATTATTTTAAAAACGGAATTTTATTTTTTACCTCCTGCGTTATCTCTTTAAGGTCGATTTGGTTCGGTCGTTTCAATAATTTGTTTCTATTTCGCGTGCGTACCGAGTACTAAATCCATTTATATCCCATTCTCGAATTACCTGCTGATTAATCAATTCTCTTCAACCCGTGATTTTAATTTAACTGACCAATAAATTTTTCTTTCTGGACTTTTAATATTTATATATTTTCCTTTTGGTTAACGATAGTGTTTTTCGCAAAAACCTATAAATGCTCCTATAATTATTCTCATTTTAAATATTTTATTACGTTATTTTATTACATGCAATGCATCGCCTTTATTATTTTCTCCTTATTTATTTCTTATTTTTTTTCTTTTGCTATTTTGATGTTATAGATTCGGGTTACACACGGGCAAATTTACAACAATAACATAAATCACCTTAAATATTGAATATTTTCTGGCGTATTGAGCTATATAATATTATTACTTTACTATTTACATTTTATCAATCAATCATTATATTGTACTATAACATATTTATATTTAATGATATTAAGTTTTATTTTCGGAATTAATTCATACACACATGTATCAATAATTTTTTTTATTATTTTATGTTTACTAACATTAAAAAAAATAAAAGATGGTTTAACTATTTTTATAGTTATATTATAAATGTACAGTCCGTTTCTGTGAGCGTATATTTTATACGCACTTAAAATAATATATATGGTCCTATTTGGCAACAATAAGCACAAATGCACATATTAGATTGTAATATTTTACAGAGTAGCGCTACAAACGAACTGTACATAACTAATATAACCATTCATGCGTCTACGAGCCAATATATATCATGTATATACTTATATAATGGGGAGAGAGCTTAACCTCAATAAATATTGCACAGCGAACAAATAACGTAATTAACATATTTTAGTGAAAAATATTTATAAGCGATTAAAATATTTTTGTTTTCGCTCAGTAGATAATAATATATCATGATTTACAGTCGTGGATTAATAAATGATCGCAATATATTTGTGTATGTTTATAAATTATTCAAATCTAATAGTACTTTTATAATCTAAAAAATATGTTTAAACATATATAATAATGTTAATAACAATTGCCTTTCTTCATAACATAACCATATGTATGTATGTGTAAAACGTATATAATTTACTTAGTACCATCGTTACGTATCAACTAAAAAACCAATGCCAGATAGACGACTCACGTAAAACCATAAAACACTATTGATTCGTATAACACAGATATTATTTTTTGTCATTGAATGAAGTTTTCAATGAATCCTCAACACATGGTATTATGTAATTATAGTAAGCTATTTCCACATTTAAATGATTCCCGCGAAGATATGTAGCATTCGTGTGTATATATATTTTAATTAATTACCAAATGATTTGATTTAAAGCTATAAATCATACTCTAAAATCGATTAAAGCTATTGACTACAAATCATGTGGCTGGTTAGAAGCAAATAGCATATACTCGATTTATCTAACAATCAAAAAAAAAAAAATCATATTTTAGTAATAATTCACACAGAAATGGAACTTGCCTTCAAAAGAATTCAAAATTCAGTAGATTATATCACTCAGTTCGAATAAATAAATCAGTTGACAATACTTGTATGAAAAGTATTACTTTCTAATAAATATATATTCCACTACTTGATATGCTTATATCTGATAGATTATAATATTTAACCAATGTTTGGCTGATTAAAAATGAACTTTAATCCATACCTTATCAAGTGTTTTGATTTTATATTCTAATTTAAATTTTAAAAAGGTGGGTAGATTGTTTTTATTTAGTTTAGATCAGAAATCTTGTTAAGAGCTATTAATTTTAAATTACTATGTTCCAACAACATTGGAATAAACTACAAACGTTTTAAAGTCATTAAAAAGTAATAAGTAAATAAAAATTAATTCTTACGAGTTTCGTATTCCAACAATAAGATTTGGATTTCTCTGGAAAGTCAGGATAAATAAGTTAAACATTTTTCTCGGTTAGACGTTTCTTTATAAATACTGAAATAAATAACCTAATTACTTTCTATTTAATTAGTCTCATTTTAATTTAATTATAAATGTACTACTCTAAATTTAAAACTTAAGGATATTTAACGAAAACTAAATTTATTAGTATAATTAATATACGATTGTTGTAAAAATTTATATGTTATTTGAAATGTTTGCTTTTAAAAATATTTAACAATGCTTAGTTCTTTCAAATGGTTTTCTATCTTATTAAGAAAATTATACCATTTTAATACTATTATAACACTTTGTATATATTTTTTTATATTTATACGCATATATATGCATAATCTAAAATAAATATCTGTGGAAAAAATGCAAAACATCATCAAATATTTTTTCTTTGAAAAAAAAAACAAAAAGTTATAAAACTGTTGTTAGATCATTTATTATACTTAGAATTTAACTAATATTTAAATGTTTAATGAAATTAACTTTTCCATACTTTAGGTACATGTAACTTTTAAGAAATAATCATGATATGAATCTAAAATTGTTTAAACTATCCTTTATGTTCGTTATGAAAAGATAAATAACTAGTGTTAATGGTTAAGAAAAAAAATACTCATCCATGAACTCAAAAACTTAGTATAAATCTACAACTTTCGGCTCTTTAAACAAAGTGTCTCGCGAGGATTTACTAATTTAAAATGGCGGTATAATGGAATTAATATTACTTCGCTAGTTTAAATCCTCACGGGACACTATATTTGTATGTATTATAATTTTTGAATAAAGTGAGAGTATTGTTTTTAGAAGTGGCATAATTATTTTAATGCAAGCCCGAGATTCATCGTGGTTATCTTTTGTAAAGGCATTTGCACGATCACTATACTATATATTATAATGAGAAAACTCGAATTGTTTCCCGTAATTCTTTAAAAAAAAGGTTACTCGAATTGCCTCCTATTTGACAATATTTCACTAATCGAATCAATATGATCGATATAAACCATCAATTTATATAATTACACATTTATAAATTGATGATAATGCTAAATAGGTAGAGACCTTAATACATACATATATTGTCTAATATACACAAAACTTAAATAACATAATTATATACGTATATATTTATATACATACATTTATTATAAAAATTGAATGTAGGTAAATTACAAATGTGTAATGTGTCAAATATACTATCATATAGTATAATATTATCGTTTGTGATATTTTTAACTTCAATAGATGCTACTTCATTTAAATTTCATAGCAATTTTGGATATTATAAATTCCAAACGTGATGTATGTTATTCTTTTTATAAATCACATTTGTACTAACATTATGTTGTAAAATATGTTCATGAAAAAGTGTTGATGGTGTTTCAGAGTATTGTCAGTTCCTTAGTACTTGTCTATTATTTTTTTTTCCGAGTCTTTCATGCATGTATGGATTATGTTTGAAACATCGAACTAAAAATTTCGTTGATAAAATTGGCTCTTAAGTAGTATTTTTTTTTTTGTTTTACGTCCATTTCTTAATTTCATTAGCAAGGTGTTTTTGGAATCTATAATTGTAACCATCGACCATTAAAACAGTATTTTCTTTTTCACTCAAAATTATAGACATTTTGATCAAAAAAATTATTTAATTATATTATTATTTTAAATTATTAAATTATAATAAAAAAATATCCCACGGCTTAATTAAGATATTTCTTAATCTTATACCGACGCGATAGTGCAGATATTAATACCTGGTTTCAATCTGTAATTTTAAATTAATAACCAACAATTACTATTTTTATATATAAATCATATATCTATAAATTACTAACCAATAAAAGCAACATTATATTGCTTTATCATACTCCACTATTGTCTAATGAAAATTGTTAAAACTAATGTTAATGAAAATTCGGCACTTTTATCTTTATTATACTCAATTTTATATACGTATAATCGTATTCATATAGGCTGCTAAATTATTATTATACTTTCGAACACCCACTCATTTTACTTGTTTCAGATCACAAGTTAAGAATTTAGAACAAGTTTTGTCGCAGTATATTCACTATAACTCCTAATTTCTAATGCCGATAAATATCGAATTATCGTAATCGATATCAATTATATAGATTGTTACGGGAGGAAATTTGAGTATAGTAACATAGGGGCACTCAAATTGCCTCCGTAATACCCTGAGGCTATTTCAGTGATAAAAAGTAACTTATTCAGATTTAGGAGGCAATTCGTGTGCTCCGAATAGGATTTATACGCTAAACGAATTGATTTACCTAATTTTGATTCTTCAGCATCATCATTTTTTGAGAGAAATTTAAGAGTATTCTTAACTGTTATTAATAAGATGTGAAAATAATCCAACTGACAGTAGCTGATGCTTACGATAAATGAAACGCTCCAAAAGTCTTATACGTGGACGCGTATTTTGTACCATGTTATTATTTACGTTACATTTGTACTCATGTAAGGTTAAGTAGAGATTATGTTTAACGATTTAACTCTTTATATATACTCGATCCGCATATACAATAATAAAATACAACGAATTAATTTAGAATTATTTAAAGTTTCATTTTTGTATTTTTTCCAGATCACAAAGTTTTTATTCGTTATATTATGCTACCAAATGTTCTGTTATATATCATCAGTGATTCATTAGAAACTTTAAAAAGCAACTACAACATTCTATCAATCGTTTCAACATGAATTTGGTTTTGAAAAATATATGTGTTATTATTATTTGACACTTCACAGTTATATATGATAGTTAATTATCAAAAAAATTATTATATTTTGTTAAATCAATGGTTTTACTGATTATATATCAGTATAATATTACCTAAATGTCCGTTTCTATTAATTAATAGTATGCTGTTAGAGCACTCAACAAACATGAATAGACAACAAAATTATAAGAAAAAATGTAAAATTTCTATCGTAGATATTGTAAATTACTTTAAGAATAATGTTTTAGAAAATATACTCCCTGTTGTATATTTTTTAAGACGTTATTATCTCTAACAATAATGCAAAAAATAAACCACTTAAAATTCATTTTATTACAATTTTTTTCACATGTTAATTTTTTACTTTTGATTTATGTCCCTATGTAGTAGTGATTACAACCAACGAACATACGTATATTATATAATTGTACGTCTCATAAATTATTGTTGATGCTATATTTTAATAACTAATCTTATATTACTGCTTTATATATATATATATGTTTTTTTTTCGTACTTATTTTTTTCTGTTTTCTATTGCTGTCGTTAACATCCAACATTGCATTGCTCTTATGATATTTACTGTTGCCATTTTATTTTTCATATTGAAGTAGATATTTACATAATAATGGAAAATCGAATTACAAAACTAAATTTATAGATATAATTTATTTGCATTAATCTTTAATTTAAATTTAAATCATATTTTACCTTTAATTTATGTTATTTATAACTAAGTATTTCATTTATGTTCTATAAGTATTTTATTAATTTAAGTATTGTTTTACAAAATGTATTTAAATATTTATGTATGTTTTGTATATATATATGATATATACATATGTGTATGTGTATGTAATTTTCTGATAGCTTAAAAAACACCGGATTTTAACCATAAACGTTAAAAGAAAATCAATTTTCTTTTTAACCTCTGCAATTAATTTATTATACTTACATTATTATTATTAGATAATATTGCGTATAGTTGACTGTTTTAAATATTAAAATCTCATTTGTAGTATTTTATAATAAACATAACCCAAATAAATTGAACCATTTTATCCGGAGTAAATTTTCTATAATTATAATAAATAAAAAATGACAAGTAAAGTATGTTTACAGATATTACCAAGTGAATCACATCGTATATAATCTACAACGAGAATTTTATTTTTCTATATTTGTTCCAGGGCGAGCTCGTGTGGTTTGACCCAGGTGTTGGTCATGTCTTGCCCGGCGAAGTTTTGGAGTACCACAAGCCAGCACAAGTGCTCACTGTTCAGGCCGTTATCGCGGGAAAAGTAAGTCCTATACCTTAAATGATTAACCTATACCTGGTACGTCTATAATAAACGTGATTAAATTTTATATAGACTCAAATTTTCTCGCTTACGAGTGCCAATGGCGTCAACCGACGACAAGATCTTGGCCAGAACGGTATTGAAGATATGATACAGCTTACGTAAGTTTTTCCTACAAATGCGACGAAAAATCTATATTCATTATGTACCTGAAACTTTAATTTATTTTTTATTTTTAGGGACTTGAACGAGGCTTCGTTGTTGTGGAATATGAAAATTCGTTATGATAAAGAACTCATATACGTAAGTTTACATAGTCGTAAGCTGCGGTTCGTAACACATCAGCTGTTAATAACTATTCAAATACGAACTGTGACTTCCATTGAATCCAATAATTATTCAAACCCAATATATGAATGACTAAAAGTTTTTTGAATTCTTTTATTTACAGACATATACCGGAAGTATATTAGTGGCGGTAAACCCTTACAAAATGTATGACATGTACGGATTGGACATGGTAAAAAAATACGAGGGCCAAATTTTAGGAACATTACCGCCGTGAGTTGATCGATATATTATGTGTTATTGTACACAGTTATAATGTATTATTAATTCGATTAAACAAATGAAAATAATTTTTAACCTGGTTGACGTTAATAGAAAATATTTTTTTTCCAGACATTTGTTCGCTGTCGGTTCTGCAGCTTACGGAATGCTCCCTCGAGGAAATCAAGTTGTTGTTATTTCTGGCGAATCAGGTTCCGGCAAAACAGAATCCACAAAGCTTATTATGCAATACTTGGCAGCTGTTAATAAATCACCATCCAATCTCATTACCGAACAAATATTAGAAGCGTCGCCATTACTAGAAAGTTTTGGTAATGCCAAAACTGTACGCAATGACAACTCGTCTCGATTCGGAAAGTTTTTAGAAGTCCATTTTAAACAGTACGTAATAGTTTTAAATACACTATTAATTATGTGTTATAATGAGAATTACTATTACACTCGAACAAATGTTTTTATTTTGACTCTTATGCAAATTTTGTACATAAATTCTCTACAACAAATAAAAAATCATGTACCTATTATAGGAGCCATCGATGTTTGTTCAATGGAGCTCATTTTATTGTATATGTTTAAATAAGATAATTCGTATTTGATTTGTTTTTTATAAGTTTTGCACTTATGATTAACTTAATATTTAAAAAATGTAGTTAAATTCAATTCCAACCGTTTCATGTAATCTACACGATTATTATATTAAAGTGCGTTTGGTTATGAACGTTTCAGAGGAGTCATATTAGGTGCCAAGGTCACGGAGTACCTATTGGAAAAATCACGTATTGTAACTCAAGCACCAGAAGAAAGAAATTATCACGTGTTCTACGAATTATTAGCTGGTCTCGCCGAAGAAGAAAAACTCAAATATGGTTTGCTATCAGCTGACAAATATTTCTACCTGAATCAAGGTGGAAATTGTGAAATCGATGGTAAATACGACGGAGAGGATTTTCAGTCGCTCATGTCCGCAATGCAAGTCCTGGGATTTACGTCAGAGGAACAGGACACTATATTCCGAATATTAGCTTCAGGTAAAATATTCAACGCCTTTGTTTTGAGTTAATGTTTTCGTCAATCATAAGAATCAGTAAATAGCTGATTAGCGCATAAGCGTTTCGCATTGTTTTCATTACTTTGTAGAAACGATTATAAAATATGCATTTATTACATTAAACCGTATTCTAAAAAGTATACCGTACATACAACGTGGATAATTATAATAAAATCGGTTTGAATCCATTCTGTGTGATTAATTAGTAAATAAAATGAACACGCGCATACAAGACACTGCCCACACATTGCATAATGCATGAACCAAGATTTTGTACATGTTATTATAATGATATTATACACGTATCAAGATTTGTAAATTAATTGTGAACAAAGTTTGATTTTTGATTTTTTTGTGACAGTTTTACACTTGGGAAATGTTTATTTCCACCGTAAACAGTTAAAGCACGGACAAGAAGGCGTTGAAATCGGCTCGGACGCGGAAATCAGATGGACGGGACATTTGCTCAGGCTAGACGTAGATGGAATCAAAGAAGCCCTCACAACCAAAACGACCGTAAGATAATTGTTTTGTTCTACCGTTATACATGACATTACATTGTAGTATGTCGATTTTACTTATATCGGACTTGTAAACTGTTCGCAGGAAGCACGCAATGAACGTGTACTAACAGCATTGAATATAGATCAGGCGTTGGATGCCCGAGATGCTTTTGCCAAGGCTTTATACAGTTCACTTTTCACGTGGCTCGTAGCCAGGATCAACCATATCGTATATAAGGGTACGAAGAAGACCACGGCCATATCGATTTTAGACATATTCGGATTTGAAGACTTCAAGGTAATTATTGTAAAAAAATAAAATAAAAGTGAATATATTATAATAATAGAATAATAAATACTGGTCACACTATAGTATTATGAATTTCGCGTGGACAAAAAATTTATTTGATTATCGGTTTTGATTTCAGGAAAATAGTTTTGAACAGTTGTGTATTAATTATGCTAACGAGAATTTACAAGTATACTTCAATAAACACATATTCAAACTGGAACAACAGGAGTACGCCAAAGAAAAGATCCAATGGCAAAACATCGCTTATAATGTAAACTACAACGATACCGGAATAAAAAACAAACACAATTATTTCTCAATTCGGCCGTACGAAATCGTAATTTAATCGACCATTCTATTTCCAGGATAATTTGCCAGTGATTCAGCTATTGTCGAAGAAACCCGTGGGCATATTACACCTTTTGGATGACGAGTCAAATTTTCCCCGCGCTACCGATGTTTCATTTTTAGAAAAATGCCATTACAACCATGCCTTGAACGAATTGTACTCTAGGCCCAGGTTGAACGGTCCGGAATTCGGAGTCCGCCATTATGCCGGACCGGTGTGGTACAACGTCGACGGGTTTCTAGACAAGAACCGAGACACGTTGAGACCCGACGTTGTACAACTATTAATCTCGAGTTCTTTGCCCGTAAGTATGATTACAATAACAGTTATTTTTACTTTTATGACTGTCCGTCTTTTGCTTATATTATATCACACTCGTATTGTTTTGCAGATGTTGAGCAAAATGTTTAGCTCCCTGCGAAACAATTACGAAGCATCGAAAACTTTGAACAAGGCTAACGGAAGATTTGTTACCATGAAACCCAGAACGCCTACTGTTGCGGCTAGGTTTCATGATTCATTACAGCAACTTATGGAATCCATTTCTGGGTAAGTAGAGCATTTGCACTTCGATGTGTAAGTTCACCTGTAACGAAGTCTTCGTTAACAATATAGATGCCACCCGTGGTTTGTACGTTGCATTAAACCTAATTGCGAAAAGGTGTCAATGAAATTCGATATGCCCACGGTTCTGGAACAGCTCCGGTACTCGGGAATGTTGGAAACGATAAGGATCCGTAAATTGGGCTACCCGGTACGCATGAAGTTTAGCGAGTTTGTGGACAGATATCGAGTGCTGGTGCGAAAACGAAAACTTCCACCGAAAGGGACGCCCAATAGGTATATATTAACATAATGGTCGGTTAAGAATCGATTTCGTAGCCGAGTTCGCTGCTTTTGTTATTATTAATATTATAATTACTATCTGAATCATGTGCGTACAGGGAAATATGTCAAGCTATTTTGGAAAAACACGCTGACGAATATCAGCTGGGCACGAGTCGGGTGTTTCTGCGAGAAAACCTGGAACGACATTTGGAACGAGAAAGAGCGGCTATTCTGAACACGGCGGCGATCACGCTTCAACGGAATGTTCGAGGGTTCCTGGCCCGCACTAGGTATACCGCGAAGAGACAGAGTGCGATTAAGTTGCAGGCGTCGGCTCGTGGCTGGATACAACGGAGACGGTACGAGACGTTGAAACGAGGCGTGGTCAAGGCTCAAGCCACATTTAGAGGCAGGCAACAGCGAAAACGATATAACCAACTAAAAGTACATGCGTACCGTTTGTTTTAATTCGTATCAGTAAATACTAACCTAACCGTGTGTCCGATTGAACAGGAGGAAATGAAAAGGAAAGCGCACGTGGCAAAGGAACGGGCGAGAATCAAAGCTCAAAAAGAAGAACAAGAAAGGAACGCAAGGCCGCATCCCGCAGCGAATCTTAATGCATTAGATATTCCGGCAGAACTAGCGACAATATTTAATAAAATTGATGGTAACATTACTCAATAATACTTAGTATATATTAACCGCGTTCTGTTAGCTTCCTTTTATTTCATCAGCAATATTTTTTTTATTTTTTTTTATGTACCTACGAATTTTAACCATATGGCTCATTGAAATACATCATAATGAATTAGTTTTTTTACACTTTAATTTCTTAGTGCTTGATTTAATTAAGTATGGTTAATCATGTTACAGTTAAATTCGCATAGCTAATTTCAATTAATATTTATTTTTTTTCTATGTACACTTTTCGTTCTTATAATTTTAATTAGACGACTGAATAAGAAATATACTCGTAAATAATCGTTTGAGATCCGGATGTCTGTATTTCAATACATATTTCATTTGTTTTGTTTGTTTATCTCAAAATTAATTTTAATTGTTTTAAAAACATTGCAATCAGTGCGTGCTATCTTCGTGTAGTATAAGTACACGCGAATTATAAAATTATACACGTACATGGATATATATTTATATTTTTACTCGTTCTCCAGTCCATTTCTGCAGTACTCCACGAAATTGTTTTATTTTATCTTACCTCGTTTTTGATTAAAAAGGGTAGATGCATTTTAATCACTTCATATTAATCCAGATCCAACCTTAAAATCTTAAAGTCACGTAAAATAAAAATTAGTTCTTTGATTAAAGTATTTTTTTTACATGTATAAACTCATCCTGTATTGTACTATAAGTGAACATTTTAACTTGTTTGGTTTCAGAATGGCAACCGTTGCACAACGAGAGGCAGCTAGTTAAAGTAGTTGGTCCCATTGTCGAGATCCAAGAACAATACAATCTACCGAACGATATCGATCAGCATGCGTTTTCAAAGTTTACAAATATTTATTTCAAAGTAATAATATACACGTGCAATGCTGGTTTACGTCGTCGAGTATTTTTCGTTATAATGTGTTCGTTTATATTTCAGTCGCATGTCTGGGGAATGAAAAGAGAACCGATTAAAACGCCGTTTCTCCACAAGAGTAAAGATGCCGACTACATGGATTCGATTGCGATTTTCAAATTGATCTTAAGGTTTATGAACGACGATTCGTTATCGCCCAAAAGAGAACAGGCGCTCGCCGATTACATCATTCACAAAGTACGTTTAGTTTTGGTTAATCTGCTGACATGCAGCTACACGACTCGTAGTACCTATTCAGGCATATATACTATTCGTGTACGTTATGATTAAATTCAGTATTTACATAATTGACCGGTTATTGATGTTAATATAATATTTGCCGGGTAATCGCCATAGCCGACCGGACATTGCATTAGTTTCTAGCTACACTATTATTTGCTATTCGTTTTATAACAAATTATGTATATTATTACTCAGGGCCCCCGCATACAATTTTGGGCCCCTACACTAAATGTTTGTCCGGGCCCTTTATAAGACTTCCAAAAATACAATTTACTATTTATATATATATATTATAATTTTAGGAATAATATTTGTTTTGTCATTATACCAATTCAAATTCAAGATTCATAAGCATTACAACATTAATAATAATCTATTTTATTTTTTATTACAATATTATTTAAGTTAAAAAAGAAAAAACAAGTGTATTTTTATTTATATTTCATATTTATTTTTTTTAAGTTAAAATTTTATTTTGCGGTCTTTGAGCTCAGTGAACTCGGTAATGATATCGTCAAAATTGATTGTCGAAGCCAATCCATTCATTTCTAGGTAATCATTGGTTAATCCGCATTTTGAACTATTGAAATAATTAAATATATATATATATATATAAAATATCATTTTACAATATTATTTAACGTAAAATAAGTATTTCTACTAAAATTTCAAAAATGACAAATACATTTCTAAGGGTCCTCGGGCCTTAAAAATAGCCGAATTCCTGTACTGTAGTTCCATCAGCCCTCTTCTTGTGAGGGCCCTGTTATTACTTATAATTAATATAATGAGAAGGCAACTTACTGAAGTATTGACAGTATTGGTATTATTTAAATTTTTTTTTCTTGCACATAACATAATAATTCGAACTCGTTTTTCCTTAAATTTTATTTCCTATTATGTACTTATAAGTAGGGAACGGATTTATATGTAATAAAAATACATAAATATGTACATATGTATGTAAGTATAATTTATAAAATATGTACTAAAACCATCCAAATATGTAGGAAAAAAATTAAAAAAAAAAAAAATTATAATTATTAAATTATCAAACTGATTTGTTGCATTGAATTATTACAATATATTTTAAATTATCAAATATTAAATGTCGCCTATTAAATCTGAAAATATTTTTAAAACGGCTAAATAATCGTTCCACATCAACCTACATCGGTTGATTTAATCATATTTGAAGGGCATAATATTAGAAGGCGATAATTCCAAATTTTTAGAATGGTGTCTGCCATTCTATGTCATTGATTGATTTAAAATCAATATGGCCTGAAATTTTTTTCTGTAAAAACATGAATTTTCTTTTTTACTACTTCTCCTATTGGTCCGTTTACGAGTTTTCATTTTGCAATCGTTGATTCGACAATTTGCATACTTTCATTCAAGGACATATTTTTGTTTCTAATTTTGTAATTGTATGTGCAATAAAACTAAAATTCACTAAGATGAAAATTAAATTTGTTTTCAATGTTTCATTTTGCATAATATTTTGAGCTTTTCTAATAGCGATAAAAGTTCTGGATCTAAATTTGAAATAATTTTTTGTATTTTTGTACGAAGAAGACGTATGAATGATGAAATAATAAAATATGTTTAAAAATATTTACAAATTAGTGAAATATGTAAAAATATGTAATTATACCAAAATATGTAAAAATATGTAAAATAAAAGTAGCATCATATTAATAGGAATGATTTAAATCATGAACATTTCTTATCAAATTTTAAATATCTCGTTTTAATAAAAATATGTATTTACATATAAATCCGTTCCCTACTTATAAGTTATAACTGTGGTTGTCGGATCATATCCAATAAATTCCGATCATCACAAAACTCCATTCGGAAAACGTGCTATATTATTTTTGTATGGAACTCGGTCATATCACGGAACAAATGTTTCGAAACAGAAACGATAACATAATAATAATCGACGGATAAAATGTTTTAGACATATATTCCGAACATAGAAAATTTATGTTTACGTCATCGTCGTTCGTTCTACAAACGCGTCGTACATTACTCCGACCGTTTACTGTGTTTACGAACTATGCTATAAATATTATCATCGTTAGCCGTCGCCGCTTACCGTACCGTGTATACCTGTAGTGTAGGTCCTACACATTTAAGCATATATTCGTACTTAAACATACACGTGTACGTGTAAATCGATGAGCATCGATTGTGGTTTTTGTTTTCAAAACTAATGTATATCAAATTGCTCAGGGTTTATCTAATGAACGGTTGCGGGATGAAATCCTATGCCAACTAGTGAACCAGACGTGGCGCAACGACGTAGAAGCGAACAACGAAAGAGGTTGGCTGCTAATGGCGAGTTGTCTCTCGGCTTTTCCTCCGACGGGACCGCTGTACAAATATCTATTGAAGTAATTGCAAAACTACTAAATGAACACGTCGTATTACATCATACGCTATTTATGCGTACCAACGTCGGAGACTTAATTTTTTTTATTTTTCCGTTGCCCGTATTTTACACAGGTACGTTTCCGACCACGGTTACGATGGTTACAAAAGCGTGTGTCAGAGAAAACTGTTGTCCGGGCACACGTGCACGCCACCGGCCAGGTCCTCGGCCCCGTGTTTGTTGGAGTGGAGGGCGAACCGGAAGAGGTTCAACACGGCACTGGAGTTCACGATGCCGGACGGTGAAACCATGACCGTTGGCGTGGAGTCGTGGACCCGATGTCACACGGCTGCGTCCGCCCTGTTGGCTGACCGAGGAATCGCCGAGTGCAACGGGTGGACCGTAGCGCTGGACAACGACCAGAGGAACGGGTTCGACTATGTGTTTGACGCCATTTCCGAAGTAGAAATGCCCCCGGGGTATCCCGGCAAAACGGCACCGCCGCACTCGCCACAACCGACGACACTGATGTCACCCGTTGTTTCGAAGGTGCGTTTATTAATACCTCGAACACGCCGTATCTAGAACGTCCGGGACTAAACATCGTTTTTTCCCGTCGTTTTAAAATAAAACCGCCTCAAATTGAATCACGAATTAAGCTTGTAAAGTTTTCGTACATTCTTCCGCCTCCTTGGTTAAACTCTAAAGCCCTAAACGAGATTAAACGTATTATTTATCGTACAACTTTGTAAAGTTACTTTCGAAAAACTGACTTTTACCGAAACATTTCTTATTATTATTATTATATTATCTTTCGGGGTTAGGTCCGTCAGTTACTTCCATCTCGAACTAATAGCCTACTGATCGCGCTACTTAATGCACAATTTTCATTAACCGTTCCTTTGTTAACAGGTCGAACCCATGGCCGTGAACCGCAGACCGACCGTGCCACCACCTCAGCCACCGCAGATGAAACAAGTAAGTCACCATTTATTGTTTGTCGACGTTCACAACGATAAGGTATCGATTAGATTTCATTTCGTGACATTTACATAGTATTTCCAAATCGTTCAACATACTCTTATAATATTATAACGCTGTATATGACATTTCGATTATTATGTACGGTAGACGATGCCATGATCAAATCACTAAGAAACGCGTAGAAAATATTGTTCACGCGTAATTAACCAGACGTTCATTTAAGCAATAAATGTAAAAAAAAAAAACAAATAATTGCCGCTCTAATTGAAATCGTACTTTTCGTTAGCGTTTCCACACTTCGAGCGTACATCTATTTCACGGATGAACAGATGGCCATCTTAAGAAATGTCTTCTACGATTTGTGTTATTATTATTATTACTATATATTACAACGAATTTAAAACCGCATGCACTTGTTCCAGTTTCTCAAGGCAATACCGTTCATAGATTATTTACGTTGAATATAATATGCTATAAGACAACTTAAATAATATGATAATCACCATAAGCGCCGCGTATATGATATTTATTAAATAACTATTATCGCTCGATCGTCACTTGTTTGTATACATTGCACAATTGTATAATTATGTTTTTTATAACTCTTTAACTCGTGTTCTTGATGTCTAGCAGAAAGTTCGATCCGTCTCTCGAGATCACAGCGCCGAAATTGGTTTGTCTCGGCAATCCGCTTTGAATGATAGATACTTCGAGAAGGCCAGTCGATCTAGAAGCCTGGACAATTTAATAACGCCCGTGAGTGAAGAACGCTTTTTTGACGCCCGTCAACATAGTCATATATAATAATAATATTGAATCACTATCCGCACCCTGTAGGTACCACAAGCTACGATAGCTCCTAAAAAACTCGACACGTTAGGCCTGTCTCATAGCAAGCTCAACGAGCGGTACATGTCGATGGAGCGTATACAAGAAACTGAAAAAGACACTGACAGCGAAAACCGAGATGACGATGATGATGATGATGACGACGACGATGACGATATCGCCAAGTCCGTGGATGACGATAACTTAGAATCGGTCAGCCAAAGAGGCGATACACGAAACTATAACGGGTACAGTTCTATACCGATGTTTTAGCTTTTCTTCCGGCATTACATTCTCGTTTTCATTGCGAATAACCTGCTGATTTGTTGAACATTTTACAGTACGTCGTCTGACGTCATGTCCCACAGTCAAATCGATTTCGATTACTCAGATATAAATGGCAGGAATGAAGATGACAAAGGTTCCTACATCAAAGGTCATCCCAGGTAAATATAGACTAAATCACAAATTGTAAAATACGATACGTATTATTATTTCGCAATAACCGACCAACTCTATACTTAATAAATTGCGTCAAAAAAAACTGTAAAAACAGCAGCAACAGTAACATTTTAAATAATTAAATGTGCGTTAATTTAAGAACTATAATTTCAAGAAACCTAAAACTAATTAGTATACACATGACCTACAAGAAAAAACGTATAATGTAATTATGCATGTATGTTTTTATTTTTACAGATTCATTAAATCGCAATACGCAGGTAAACGCGGTTCACATTCTATTAAATCACAAATGGATAACAAAAATTCAGAAAAATCTGAGGCCAGAAGCTGCGCTATGTCCGATACAAGCGAAGCTCCATCCTTAGGTAAACGTTTGATTAATAAAAAAAAGTCTTTGATTATAGTGCACACATCCTTTATGCGTCCGTATAACAAAAATGTGATGCGTATTGAAAAAGATAATTACTAATATATATTATTATATATATAATTAATAATAATATTATATTTATAATATATATTCATCGTCGATTTCGGCTTACCCACAAAATTATAACAAGCAAATTAAACTAGAACTAAGTAATTTGATAAAAAAAATTATAAGTTGAAGTACGCATAGTAGTTCACAATTATTTCCATAACTCAACTGTTTTCTTTCTGAATCCAGTTATTTAAATGCGTTTTGTATACTGTTTGGCTAATGCGATAGCCACACGCAAAATTCCCACAGTTTTTCGAATGGCAAACGGATCATGGGTATCTTGACCTTACTATGTTCTGTACGCATCGCCGTACCTGCGCTACGAAAAGAGTTTATTTCTAAAGACAGCTGCACGCTTCAAGTTTTTCTCTTGGCCGTCGCGTTACCCTTCTACTTTTTTGTTCTCTCTCTCGCTCACAAATATTCGTTCTACCTCTCTGACCGTCTCGATTTTTCATTTTTTTTTTCTTCAAATTAGCATCGCACGTTAGACGCGTACGTGTGCCGTCGCAGGCATCAGACGTTGACCAGTTCCTTGACGACCTGTTCAACCCTGTTCTGGATCAACTTTCCGATGCCCGATCGTTAGCTGCATCCATCAAAGGCGGCTCATCGAAAAGCAAATCCGTGGACGACTGCGAGTCCTTGGACTCTCGGAACTTTGCTAAGACGATAAAAGGCGGTGTCGGCCGTCATACGATTGAAAAGACCTGTGATCCCGCAAGCGCGTCCAATGAAAGCCCCTCGCAGACCGAGTACGTCGATACGGACGATGAGCAGCCATTGGACATCGCTATGTTCGCCAAGACCATAAAGGGAGGCGGCCGAGGTGTCGCGTCTCAGCAACAGGTACGTTGTAGATTATTTATTTTTTATGATCGTGGGCGCGATTTCTGGTTTTTTTTTCCTTGGTGAGCCCTATAAGTCGTAAAAATTTTACATGATAATTATATGGAAATATTATATAATTATATGGAAAACAATAACCACCATATATTAAATAATCAATGGAAAATGTAATACTCAATATAATACATACGCCCGTTTCTGCCATCCCTTCATCGGATTGCGCCTATGCACTGGATTCGAAACTATAAATTTACATTTATTGTTGCATTTGTAATTTAATTTTTAAACCATTTGTTTTCTTTCCACCGTGTTCACAGAACGGTTCCGGGCAGTCCGGAAACGCATCGTTCGGCGGCATGTCACCACTGATCGGCTCACCGCCCGTCATGCCCATCCTCTCGCCACCATCATTACTTATGCCTACGATGAATTCGCAGATGTTCAACTCTCCGAACAGTGAGTTCGATAACGACGACGACACATTGTTGTTGTTATTTGTATATCATTATTTATTATAATAATCGTAATAATTGTAATAATAACGTTGGCGTTGATTATGAAAATAATATTAAAAACGGTTGTTAAAAAAGAAGAAGAAGCAAAACCAAAAAAAAAAAAAAAACAATGGCTGAGAGAGTTCTCATGGTGATGCGTGTTCTAATTTCTCCGGCCCGTTTCCTGCCATGCTCTGCCACCGACATTCGACGAGCCGGTGCATAACGCTCTGTCAACGCACATTGAATATCATAATTTTACTGTTTTCCTTTCCGTTATTGTCGTCATCGCTTTGCGCCATTGTTATTATTATTAATTTTATTAGTGTTATTTTTTTCCGCATATTGTCTTAATGGGTTTCGATTTTACCGCCGTAGGTCTCAGTGTGCCAGCGAACACGGCAAACGCCAATGGCAATGGGTCGTCCAGTGACAGCATGCTTGCGTACCAAGCGAACCTACACCAGGCGTTCTTGCAGTCCGCCATGGCGCAAAACATCCAGATCCAGCAGCAAATCCTTGCACAGAACCAGGCACTTCATCAGTTGCTTCAGCAGCAACAGATGTTGCCACCGGTACGTCGACGTTTCCGTTTCACATATATACTTAACCTAATTTAACTATTCTATACCACCTCGAAAATCGATTGAAGTTGGATTTTTCAACCATTTCTATGTAATCGGATCAAAGTAAATATATATCCGTGAGCTTGTGTGATGTTTACGATAATAAACTGTAGATCGGGGTTGCGAAACACAAAATAATCAATGGATTTGTAGTCCTATTGTTCGAAGGAGTTTAGTTTCTATAGTAAAAATAATTTATTTCACACTATAGTAAAACTAAAAACAATTAAACTTGTGCATTTGAACGTCAAATAAATATTAAAAAATCTATTGTTAAAAATGTAAGGAAAAGGAATAATGAAATCGAATCTACAGACAACTATTGTTTATAAGAAATTATTATTATTTCATAATAAAAATATGAAAAGTTATTAATAATTTATAAAAACAATGTCATTTGTTTTTCCGGTTTTTTTATCTTTAAATTGAACATGGAATTACTATTTGAAAATTTGCATACGAACAATTCTGTATTTTATGATTTTTATTATGAATAAATGAATGAAAATATTTAATCACACCTACACAATTGAGAAAATTAATACTATAATACATTTCTGATAAAAAAAAAATAAACATTTAGCTTATCGTAAAAGCTATCGATTATACTTCAATCCGACCTAAAATAAAATTAATTTTTCTTACAGTATAATTTTTATGATTAACTAACGTTTCAAGTTATTTTAAAAATGTATGTAACTTCTTTTGATAAAATTGTTTGAATTTTATCGCATTTTTAGGTTGGTCCAGAAAATACATCAGGTGTATGGAACAATTCTCCTCCTAAACATAAATCTACACCTACTAATAAGTCTCAAGTAATTATTTACAAATTTATATAACCTTTACCCCATTAATTAATCTCTTTTTTTGGCTTCGCGTTGCATTACAGGGACTTCGTTCAGGATCACCACATTCCACGTTCACAAATGTTTTAAGCGAATTAAAGAGCAGAAAATCATCGATGGATTCTAATGTTGGAAAAGTAATTATTTTATCAATTTATTATTCGTATTCAGTTTTTTGCTACCACAAACTACTTAATTATATAGAGCTCTGTACCACCACCACCTCCCATGCCACCGCCACCTGATTTATGCGACCCGAGCGAGGTTAGGCCGTTCATGGATCCATATGGGCGAGCAAAAACTGTACGAATTGGAAAATGGAGGTGGCCACCGCTTAGTGATGGTGCTAGCAATGGCGTTCCAGGTGAAATGAACGGGTTTCCATCACATCAAAGTTTTTTGCAATTCAAAATGTCCAAACAACAAAGCCAAAGGCACAAACAATCACAAGTGAGTTGAAGTGGTCAAATAAACTGATAAAGTTTAATTTTGAAATATAAATGTTTATAATAATTGCAATATATTACATTGTTTTGAAAGTTTACATTACGTATTACCAAATATTGGTATATTATTTTTAATTCAACGTGTCACAATAAGTTATTGTTTGATGTTTATTCGGTGTAAAAATTAATTATCTGTAATATGTACACTCAGGACTCGAGTCAAGACGGAGAACTAAATGGAGTCGATTGGGAAGAATATGAAATACAACAACCCGAATCAATGAAGCAGCCGTCTCCCAAAGATCAAACGGAAGTACATAAAACATCATACAAATCGTTGGAAGTCGGCGCATCGAGACCAAGTCCCGGGAGCGTTGGCAAACTGAGGATTAGTAACGAAATGAAGCATAAATTAGAAATGGTAACGGCTAATCACAGTCTGCGATCTTCGACCAGCAAGCCCAGACCGCAGGCCATGAACAATATGCCGACACCCCCTGCTGCCGGGAAACTGGATACGGACCGACGACTGTTGTTGCAGCAACAACTAGGTATAAAATATTGCGAGTCGAACTGCGCGGTGTATTAGGATTTTATTTCTAGTTTGAAAAAACCGTTCGACGGGCAGAAACATACCTAGTTGTCCGATCGTAACAAAATCGTTGGCTCGCGTTTTTTACTTTGTAGTTTGAACGGTGGTAATAATAATTGTTGTTTCAGCCGGAAGATGGGGTAGCGTGGATAGCGTGGATTCGCAAAGCGTGGTCAAAGAAGACGCATCCGATGTGCAGCCCGCAAACGTAATACGCAATCAGGTGGAACGTATCGAAAGCTCCGGGTGGCGATTGCCACCGCCGCCGATCACGCCGTCCAGATCGAACAGCTTTTACAATCAAAACATGTAAGTGTTCGGATATGAATCGCAATAAATCGTAGCGGATGTGCTTGTTCCAACGGTTAATCATTTATTTTTTGTTTCGCTCTGCCAGGAAAAAGAATAGCACTGGTCCTCCAGCTCCCATACAGCCCGTGACGCGCGAATACGACCAAAATGTGTTCCGGAACTCGGCCCCGAACAATTACAGCGAACCGCACGAGACCGAGAAAGCTCCCGAGTTCAACGTTCGTCCGGAGCCCAGGATACAATCGCCGTCGCAAAACGAAGACGGGCAAACAACGAAATTACTGCAATCGCCGGCCAACGCGTATTTCACGTACAACCGCGTACCATGGAAATTGAACGTCCGGAAGGAAGTGAGTCGCCCGCTATTATATTTTAACATAGTTCACGGTGACGACATCGTGTTCTTGTGTACTCGGAAAATTGAGTGTTATCAACGTGGTTGTTTTGGTTTAATTTGTTTTCTTCTCCGTCACAGGTGTTCACCCCTAAAGAATCGATGTCCAGTCCCCTAGTGTTACATCTGATTTTCTGTCAAATAGTCGGTGACATGTTCAACAAATTCCATTCGGTACACGCGAGGATATCAGCCGACGAACGCGAAGAGATGTTAGAGGTACATATACTGTTAAAACTGATCAATTCATTCCGGTAGCAGTTGCAATTGGAATATTGTTGTTCAGATTTTTCCAAAATATAAAATGTCCTGAACAACAAACCAGCACACTATATTATCGTTTGACGCGTTTTAGTTATTGGACCGTTTTGGAGTGACAGCCAGCAACATGCAAACCGGTCATCATAAAGCCACTACTAAACGTTCCATTGTCGAGTTGGCTCGCCAATGGCCACTGTATTTCGCAAGAATATTTCCCGTTTCCGTACGTATAATTTAACTTACTGTGTTTGTCTCTACAAACCAAATAAACTTAATTTAGTGGTGACTTTATCGGATTTGAAAACATTTTAATAACTATAGTGCGGTTATCAACACCGAGATGTCGAGTATTTAGCCATTACGCACGCGGGTCTTCATTTACTACGCAAAGAAGACAACCAATTTCAAATCATGCAAACCCTAACGTAAGTTGAATTCCTAGCCAATTTAGTGTTCTCTTTAATTATATATTCTTATCGTTTGAAATCAATTGATTTTCGAATTAAATTTTTTTTTTTTTGCTCTTCAGGTTCGAAGACATTGCCGACGTATCTATGGGAAAGGCCGGTGGCTCTGTTCAGCTAACAATAATGTCGGCTGAAACAATACCATTCCATTCAAATAGATCCAGACAAATACATTCAATGATCAGCTCTTTCTGGAAAGACGCTGCACCACTTGGAAGACTTCCCCGTCAAGTGGTAAATAAAACAGTCCTGAATCTATCATAAGTATACACGTCAATATATTGGATAAAAATATTTGACGTGAATACTAACTCTAATGTTCTTTATTTCTTCTTCTCTTCTTTTTGTGGGTTACGGCCTTCAAGACCATCCTTGCAAACAAATTTGCGGCCATCTTTCCCTATCCTCTGCAACTTCTCTCCACTGTATATTTGGTTCTACTGCCTTAACATACTTTTAATACGATCCTCCCATCGTAAACGCGGTTTTCCTAACGGTCTTTTCCCAATCGGATTTTCTTTAATAACCGCCTTAATAAAAGAACTCTCTTCCTCCAAGCATGTCCAGCCCACATTAATCTTCTCCTTGTAATTTCTACTATAATATCTGGTTTTTGAAACAAGTTTTTCAGTTCATCATTGTGACGTATCCTCCATTCCCCAGTGTCAGAATCGATACATGGTGCATAAATTCTTCTTAGAATTTTTCGCTCAAACACCGCAAGTCTTGTTTCCTCTACCTTTCTCAGAGTCCACGTCTCAGGTCCATATAAAACTACTGGTCTTATCAGGGTCATGTAAAATTGTATTTTTAATTTTGTCAATAAGATTTTTGAGCCGAACATTCTTTATAAACCAAAATAATACCTATTTCCCATTTGAATCCTAGTGTCCATCTCCATCTTAAGGTCACTATCTTGTGTTATTATGGATCCTAGGTACTTAAAATACGGTGCTCTCTTAAACTTATGATGTTCTATTTCCAAAACCTCTCCTTGTCGGTATTCTTTACTTCTTCTTCCAATTATGACATACTCCGTTGTTCTTTATTTAAACATTTTAATTATTTTTACGTAATATATACTTTAAATTTTCAATCAAATGTATTAAATGTTTCAGGATGAAAAAAATCGTGCTCCAGAATACAAGGGTAAATAAATTATTATATTTTTTTAATCGTAAAAACTAATATTAGGTGTGCATTTATTTGTATATGTTACTTTTTTCTTTTTTTAGGGTGGCAACAAACGAATTCGAAATATTCCAAGCCAACTTCGCCATATAAGCAACATGAATCACCACCACCTACCCACTTTGTACGAAAAAATTTAACTCTCAATACATTTTAATATTCTAATTATTTTAACCAATACTTATGTAAAAATATATTTTAAATTATTTACTTACAGGCTGCAGATGACGGTAAACATTCGCTACTTCAATTTGCCATGTACAATTTCAGACACAGTTCGGAAAAGTAATTAAAATTATTTGTTTTTAATAATTTTATTTTTTTGTCTTTTCGTTAAATATTATATTTTGAAAAAAAAAAACGATTAACTTTGTATAAACATATAACATTTACCCGTTTTCCGTTTTGATGCAGGTTTGACATGTTGAAATCCGCGAACGGTGAGATAAACGGTTCATTGAAGGTCATTCAAAACTCGAAAAAGAAGAGCGATGATTGGACTTGGAAAGAACAGTTGGAGATGGTTAAGTACACAAACGTCCCGATATCCGAATCACTGTTGAAACTGGACCCGGAATTGAACGCGCTGGCTATGGAATGCTTTGAGTGCGTCATGAGGTACATGAACGATTTGCCCACAACGCCCGAATTCACGGAAGTCAAATGCGTCTACACCATTCTCATGGTAACAGGACATATTCATACTCTCGGCTCGACCTTAGCTTACCTAGCCAAACGTTTTGTATATTCGTATTGCAGCATTGCCATAAATTCGAAAGCTTGAGGGACGAGGTGTACTGCCAGCTAATGAAACAGACAACCAACAATAAGACGGAGACGTGCCAGCGGGGTTGGCGTTTGCTGAGCATCGTCGCGGCGTATTTTACTTGCTCCGAGAACCTGAGACCTTTCCTGCTCAAGTATTTGGAAACCGCGGCGTATGACAAGAGGAGAGCTTTCCATGGTATGTCGTGATTTGCCGTCGCAATGAATGCCAACTAGCGAAGCTAACGCTCTCTTTTGTGAACAACTTTTTGCAGGTACCGCGAACGTGTGCCTGCAGAACTTGCGCAAGACGTTACGCTACGGCGGCCGTAAAAACGTACCCAGTGTCGAAGAAGTTACAGCCGTGTCGGCCGGTCGTAACTCCAAGCGACAACTGTACCGATTGCCCGGGGGTAGCGAAACCGTGGTGAACACCAAGTCGACCACCGTCGTGGCTGACGTCATCGCTGGCATGTGCTCGTTGATCAATGTCAACGACCCGTTGGAAATGGAAGAGTTCTCTTTGTATTGTATCGTAGAGGGTGATGCGTTCACGATGCCGCTGGCCGCTGATGAATACATACTGGATGTGACCACGGAGCTGCACAAAAACCAACAGGTAAATTCACCGCTTCCTACTGTAGGACGAAGACTCGAATCAGATACTGCTCCAGTGGACTAATCCCTTTTTCCCTCCAGGTGTTCTACTTGATATTCTGCCGGTCCGTGTGGTACTTCCCGTTGCGATTGGACAGCCAGCTCTACGTTCAGGTGTTGTTCAACCAAATCGCACCTGATTACTTGGAAGGTCTACTGTTGGTCTTGCCCTTCGGACAGTTGCCCCAAGAATTGCTGGTGAGTCTTACCCCAGACGCACTATTATTGAATTGTTAACGTAAACGTATTTTGATATTTTTGTTTTCCTCCTTGTCTATTTACAGTTTGAAGTGTGCCGATTAGCTGCTCTGCTACACCGAGCAGCCGACATGATTCAGCCCCCGACATTAAAAGAAACGAAATTCCTTCTACCCAAACCAGCGCTTATGCAAAACGATGTAAATCCTCAGCAATTGGTGCAAATGGTTCAAAATAATTGGCCTCAAATCGAACCTCTGCACAGCGTGGAAGCTAAAGCCCAATTCTTAGGTTTGTATGAATATCTTGAATATTTTCGGTTTTATTTATCGGAATCGTTAAGCAAACATTGAACTCTTTTTGTCGTTTTAAGGAAAAATCATAGTTAACGTTTTATCGAGCCACAAAAAATGTGTTGATTATTTTAGGAGTTATCATCAATAATTTATCATTGAATGAGGAGATACAGTGGTTTTTCCTGATTACTTATTCGTAAATTTGTGTTTAAGTCATGATTTATTAGTGTTAATCATGAAATCAGGTACTAATTGATTGAATACAATTTTTCAATATTTTTCTGATCTAAATTCCCTAGAATATATTGATGTCCATGTTCTGTACAACGCATATTTTTTATTTTATGCTTTGCTCTTCTAAGGTACGTAAATCCGTTAACTGTGTTAACAAATATAATTATGTACATAATAAAAGAAGGCGTTTAAAATTGTTTTTATGATTATAGCCGTAATATAATATTATATCGTAGTATCTCATCAATGATATTACATAGGTATATATTATGTATGACATCTTATCAGTTATATTATATTGTTAATGATGAGTCATCACTAACAATGGCCAGTAAATACGGTGTTAAATATTTAAATTATGCTTTGTAGAATTTACTCCTAAGTTTTTTTTATTTTATGACTCAACCTTTTACAAAGCAGCTAATATATTTTCCCAAACCCTGACTTTTGACTTAGTATTCAATTTCAAAAATGAAAAGCGCATTCGTTGTAAAATTATCTCTTAACTAACCGCCGTAGTTAGCCCGTACTACATCCTTAAACTGTACACCCAAGAGTATTAGATTTCCAACGCCCCCATACAACGAATACGAAAACTGTGTTTTACATATTATTACACTGTGTTATATTAATAGTGAACTACGAGAATATCATGTTACACTTTTATAAAAAAAATTTGAAATCCCATACAATACTAATAATATCGTCATTTATGTATTTTGTTTTTTGTACGCCACAGAAATATTAAGCAAATGGCCGCTGTTCGGATCCAGCTTCTTCGCAGTCAAACGTAGCGGAGATCAGCAGATATTAGCTCTGAACAGAACCGGCGTCCATTTCCTTCACATTGTTACCCACGTGAGTGGAATTTAATGTCGTTAGTTTTTCGGTCCAACGGCCGCAGGTCGATAACAATAATTATTAAGCTGGGCGTGTTTATGTGATTTTAGAAAACCTTATCGACAGTGCCATTTAGTGAAGTGATATCGACTAGGAAAGTGAGAGCTGGCGAAGGTGCCACTCTCTACTTGGAGCTCAAGTGCGGCAACTTGTTCCAACAACGGGTAGCTAGACTACAAACCGACCAGGCCCACGAAATCGCCCGGCTCGTTAGACAATATATAACCATGCATCGCCGTGAGTTATTTCAATATTATAATGTTTTATGTTAATTTCATAACATATTATAGAGTAGACGTGACCTAAAGTCTATACTAAAATGTGTTTAATTATAATCTCTCCGAGTCTTGCTCGTCTCTGAACGATCTTTGATATTATAGGTTACGATTCGATATTCTTGCGGTATACTATTCCGTGCAGTTATACGTTTACACAGTTATTTGCTCTGCTGTTTATAACTTCACTAGTTTTTTTTTTCCATAGGTACTCTTTAAATAACAATTTTCCACGCGTGTAAAACTATACGGTTATAATTCAAAAACTGCTGCAATTTTTTTTTCTATGGTAATTTTTTTTCCATAAATTTGTTACTACCATGTTTATTTTCCTCGGATTTTATTGATACTTATGTGTTGATAAATTTAAACTAAAAATTGTATTAATTGCATTCTTGGTCATAGTATAGTTAAAAAAAAAAATGATATGTTTTAATAGGAAACTACAAACATTCAAGCATTAAAACATTAGGTACCAAATACTATACTATACCCTCTCATATTAAAATAATGAAACCAGAAAAATAATAGACTATTTTGAGATTTCTAAAAAATGAATTATAACATGATAATAAAACGTTATAATATTTAAAAGAGAAGTATATTAAAAATTAATTTAGAACATTAATTTTGTTTTGGAAGTGATGATGGGGGTTAACTAACCTAATTTGGTGATATAATATGCGAGACAGTGATGCACAGTGGTCCCATATATTACCAAAAGTTAAAATATCCATTTTATTTTTATTTTTTATGCACCGGTCATAAAAACAGTTCTTGATCTTTTTAAAAACAGCAATCAAGTTAAACTTAAAATAAAACAAAATATTTACAAATATGATATATTGCTGTTGTTAAATTTAATTGTAAATACAGGTATAATAAAATAATAAGACTTTGTTAATTTTTAGTTCGTTAAATTAATAAATATCAGCATTGATGAAATAACTTTTAAGTTTTATGGCAAAACATGCCTTCTTGGCAACAAGAAACATTGCTTTAAAGCAAAATTGACTTCAAAATAGATTTTTTAAATGTTTGTCTTTGTGTTTTGCTACTCAATTGAACATAGTTTGAAACTTCACAACACATAAAATTAGTTCTGCTGCTGAAAAATTTGCATATAATAAGCACGCGTGTCGGATTATGATCGTAAAACTAACTAGATAACTTTTTATGCAAAATAAGACCGTAATAAAGCAATAACAAAAATGCGTTAACCTCCAACTTACATCACGCTGGATAATCATAATACCGTACTTAATAAAGAAATTTAAATATTTGTACACGAGAGGTACTACTATTGCTACTACTCTATTGCTTTGTTTCGAATCCCTCGGTCTGCTTTTCGGTAAGATAGGTTTTGAGTTAATAATATAATTGAACGTTAATTGAATTTTGGGTGAGGAAAAATATTTCAGGCACAAGAATCGTAGAATTAGACATTTTTATTGACACGTATAACAGGTTTTCTCGAAACATGATTTTAATCGCTGTTGATTATGCATAGAATTAGCGTATCATAGTACATGTACACAAAAATATTTAAACCACTTGTGTTATTTTTAGATAATGTTGGTGTTCATTGAGAAAACAGCTACTTTGACGGAAGGAAAACATTTTTAAGTTGCGCTCAAACATATCATACAGGTAGTGTGGTTGTGTTTAACCTAGATTTTAATCGTTCAACAAATACACAGGTAGATATTTCTTTGTTGACTATTGATACTTAAAATAAATCATTATGATGAGTTTTTTTAAAGTAAATAGGCCAAATAAAAAAGTTTAAGACTTAATTATGAATTTATATAAGAATGATTATAATTTTAAATATATATTATGATATTATGATACAACCATATTTAGTAATTTAAATTTATTTATTTATTATTTTTACTTCGAAATAAATCAGTTTATATTAAATTACATTGAATTTATATGAATACATATTTTATATAATTTTTGTTGTTTTAATTTTTACCATTTATAATAAATTTGAATAGTATATTTGAAAAATGTTGCGTGTATTTTATTTTATAAGAACACAAACCCTGAAATCATGAAGATATTTTTCAGCTATTATCATATAATCAATGTGTCGAATTGGCCTTTTTGGTGGTTAGAAAATGATTAATAATATAATGCAGGTACAACAGTGAAATAAAACAACGATTTCAATGTACTAAAATTAGATGTTTCCTAATAAAATCTGTATTATTCTACGTCTAAACCTCGGTGGAGAAGTATAAATAACAATCATAATCATATAGATATATTATTAATAACAAAATACTCACCTTTATAATATATATTATATACATATTATACTCTTATGTATAATACAAATATACAAGCATGTTCCAGAATGATTCAACAAATACAATTATTTTTGTTTTATTTATTGTTTTCAACTATTTTTCGAATTAATACTAAGGAGATGCACTCTAACAGTATTGCATTGAAATATGTTTTTGAATTTTTAGAACTCAAATTTAAATATTTTAATTTTATTCTACAGCCTAAAAAAAAAATCCAAAATTAATATTTTGTGAACTTGATTTTTAGAAAAATATCAGTGTTTAATAAAAAGTCTAATAAAAATTAATCCATTCATTTCCTATGATTTTTTTAATCGATTTCAAAATTATTGTTATAATTTTTAGTTATTATCTTACTATCATAAATTATAAATTTATATTTATCATTATGATCTTAATTAACGTACCTATGTTCAGTCAACCTTTATTAGAATTTTAAACACCAATAATATTCTAAAACTATATTTCTTATAATAGCTATTTTAGATTATTTTTCAAACGGTAGTGTAATGCAGCGGTTCCCAAACTTTTAAAATCATGGAACCCTTAAAAAAACAGTTTGTTTTGCGGAACCTTAATGTCTTTAATTCCAATTCAACTCTAATTAAAAAAAAAAAAATAGAAAAACTAATACTCTAAAAAATATTTTTAATAATACTGTTAATATTATTAATAATGATTACTCTATATTAAAATTAGTTTAAAACATATTTTTTTTTTAAATAATATAAAATAATATTTTTTCCAAATATAATATAAAATAATAAGTTCCTCAAAAATCACATACATCTAGCAGAACCCTTAGCATTGTCCCGCAGAACCTTAGGGTTAGGTTAACAAACACACTTTAGGAAACGCTGGTGTAATTTACTACGTATTAGCATTAATTACAAATACTATATAATAGTATTTATAATCAATAGTATCAGTATATTATAGTAGATACAATTTGCAATTTTGTTGTAGCGCAGAGCTTTAGTATGTATTTATTAAAAAAAGAAAAAAATTAAAATAATAAATAAAACAAAAGTTTTTGCATTTGTTGGAGCATCCTGGAAAACCCTGTATAATGTATGTAAATTGTTTTGCTCATTTCAAAGTTTATTTAGTTTTTTCATCAGATAAATTAGACTACCAAATATTATAATAATATTTCAAGATCAGTCCATAACCGCCGTGTTCTAACAACTAATCTGTTGTAAGCCTGCTTGGAGTATGTTTCCAGTATCTTTATCAACTAGTTTTTTTTTTCTTCCTCGGGCTATCCTAACTGTAACTCAACCTTTCTAAACTTGTCTCATTAAACATTAAATATGTACGAGATCGATGCAACCTATTCAAATTAAGGTCATATATTTTTCGCATATGATTCAATACAAATTATGAACGCGATAAAAATACGCATCGACCGGTGATTAATTTTTAAGTTAACCAACCGCGATGGCGTTGCTGGATTATTTATTATTAACTACGGGAAAATAATGTAGCGTATTCGTATCGAAATCGTAATGATAATAATAATAATATATATTTTGAGGTACCAGTGCAACTCAGTCTGCTGTGTAAAATTAATGTTTAACAAAAATCTCACACTTTTCTCCGGCATACATTCCAACATTCCATCTATAAATGTTCTGTAAGTATAATACGCACTTGCTTATGCACCATCAATGTTTGCAGTTTATTTTTCGATCGATAACACGCGGCTGTTTAGCACGGTTCTTAAAAATCAATGTATTATTATATGACTTGTTTGATTATAATATTTTATTTGTCGTACTCAGCACAATCGTTCAGGTATAAATTCACGCGTTTATTTATTTATTTTTTATGTTTTTCTATTTTTTTGTTCTTACGCTTAAACAAAAATGAACAATGTAAATTAACGTAACTAGAGATTTGGTGGCCTCTTGAACATTTAATATTATTCGTGATTAACTATTTTAGGAGCATAGTATTTGTTTTAACGTCGTTCCAATACATCGTATTTTTACAAATCATTTTCTACGAACAGAAATAAAATATAAATCTTCAAAACAATAGTATCACGACCTGTTCGGAGGACCATAATGTGATTTGCATTTCTATGTAATCATTAGAAGGTATGCGAAGGAAAATGTATTCATTTCAATAAAATGAGCGTTTCAGTATCAGACACATTTACCTTTTGATCTGTAAAAATGTATTTCGGTAACAACGACTCGTGAACAACTTTTAAATGAGTTATGGTAAATACATTTTGTGTACAAATAACCGAAGACTTATATGGAAATATATAAGAACGATGGGAAACTTGGGAAAATATTAGTTTTTATCCTTAACCAATCATGCTGACAAACAACCCGTCTTCAAATAGCTTTCATTAATCATGATTTGTTGAAAAAAATCTGGTAACATTTGAAAGATAAAATATGTTGAAAAAGTGATTCGGTAATGTTATTAATTCTATGCAATATTATTTCAATAAACACTAGTTGTATACAACTGTTATAAAAGATAATTAAAATATTAAGATTAGCTCGCACAACAAAAGATTTAAACGTTTAATTTTTAACTGTGATGTAAAATATTTCAAAAAACTTCCATTTACTGGTGTAACTAATAAATTATTAGTATTCGTTCGTATAAATATAAATAGTTGAGACTTCGAATCAATTAGATAAATATTCAGGTCTCGTGAAACTTGTAATTATTTTAATCGTGGTGAGATGACTTCGATAGGAAAATAATATAAGTAATAACATTACAAGAGTGGATAAGTATGATGAATGACTAACGTAACCATACGTCGAATGTTGTTGCCCTAGGGCAGGAGTCGGGAACCTGCGGCTCCTTATCAACTCAATCTGTGGTTCTTTGGACTATGTATCTATATCGAGACCCGCAAAATATAAATAACAAATTTATTATAATTTTTTTTTTTTTAGGTTATAGTATAATTTATTTACTATAATATATTATGTATATTTTATTTTTTTATACAATATTAATATCATGACATTCATTTTTAGTAAAAATAGTTTTGCAAATGGATATTGGAAATCTCGAAAGGGAAAATAGCGTTTAAGGTGCGAACCATAAATGGACGTAACTTGCTAAACGTCATTGAAATAAAGTTTCTCTGTATTTTCTATATTTAAAACGAATTGTTATACTTTTAATGCTTACCAATTCCGAACGAAATTGTTAAGTAAAATATGTTAGTTGATTTTTTGTACCATGGTAAGTTTTTTAATACGATCTTTTGAATTTACTTTTATAATGTTATTAGTTGTTATACCTGTTAATGTTAATGTTCTTATTGTACTACACTAATTATACTACAGCCACGACCAAAAAGAAAAAAAAAAAGTTATTCACAAACCTGTACACCTCTCTAGACATCATGGATTTGTAATTTAAAAAAAAAAAAAGTAACATTTTCCCTATCAAAAGGTTGCCGACTCCTGCCTAGGGCGTTATTGGTAGTTAGGATCATATAGCTCCATATGTGTGGATCGGACATCGTAAAATAATAATCTCATCATCAATACCTAGGTGCGATAATATTTTATTCTTGTCTGTGGTTAGGACGACACTGCCTACTATACAAAGTGTTATGTGTGAACACTTCATCATACAGATACAAATAATATACACTGATAGAATTAGAATGTTTCGGGTAATTGGTATTTTTAGAAATTACTTTAACTATTCGATATTTTTTATTTATTTTTATTTTTTTTATTTTTTTTTTTTTTTCTTATTATTAGGTTAGTGAAATTTTTCCGTGTTTGGTTTTACCGTATGGTTTAATAATATACAATATTCAATGCAAATGCGAGTCTTCCTTGACTAAAACACTAGCACATGTGTATGTATCTAACGCAGTGGTTTTAAACCTTTTTTTTGTTCACGGAACACTATTATTCGTCACAAGTTTTCACGGCACACTCATGTACTCGACACCAAAAACTTTGGCTACGCGCTAAGATATTCAGTTTGATCAATCAGTATTTTCAATTTATTTCCGAATAACTGCACAGTTCTAAAAGTTAAATAATTCTAATCTACACACGTATGATTTATCTGTACAGATAAACAAATGTAGAGAAATAAAATACATTCCGTTTTCAATATTTTTATATCAGATTTTTTTCGCGGCACAAATCATTGATCTCGCGGCACATCGGTTGAGAACCACTGATCTAACGCATTCATTGCTATGACGTTCCATACCACGAATTATTATAACCTTTGATACGATTCCATGGCTGAATCGAATTACTTGGGAACCCTGTTCGACATGGTTCAACGGTTTTAGAAAATGGAAAATTCAAATGCGTCGTTATCGTCGTTGATGGAGCCAGAAATGTGTTGTATGAACTGTCAAATGATTGCCGGAGCACCGCGGTGAAACGGATATTTGAAGTTCGCATTTCGTTTGTTTCCCCTTCGAGACAGCTTACGTTCGTATTTCAACCGTTGCTGCTCCCCCGCGAAA